AAATGGTAAGACTATTTGGTCCCTCATATTACATTAAATGCACACATGGGAAGTGCTCACATGCTCTCCTCCAAACTACCCCAGGGCCCCTCAGCAGGGTCCAGAAAAAGTGACATGCTCTGTACTACTGCTCAACACGAATTTTTACTTAAAACCAGCAAGCATCACTTAATTAAAGTGGTACTTTATGAACACCTTAGTAGTTAGGAGTGAACTTTTAAAATAAAAGGTAAAGCAAGCTTCAATGTTTAAATAAAATGACAAAATGTGATACAATATAATAACAAGAAACTTTATTGAATTACAAATATTAAAATGGTCACTTAATTTAAAAATGGGACAATTTTAATTTTGTTCTTCTTGAAATTCAATCTTTCAAAAATGCACTTTATTTTTTAAATGATAAAACAAAAGGTTAATCTGTGAATTGACAAATCATCTGTGAATGATACCGCTGAGACAATTCTTTATATATGGGATCTTAACATGGACCTTAAAAAGTTGTCTTCTGTATTACATCAAATTATTTCCAGTAAGAAATGGGAAAATGTGAGCAAAAGGGAGTGTAAAGCATGTACTCAGGTCTTTCTGTAGGTGTTTGATAGAACAGAGTTAGTATGATAAAACGTGGACTTTGTAACAGTGGCCTCTAAGATGTACAACAGCAAGTGTACCCTAAGGAACCTATGTGAAAATCGTAACAGAAAGAATGGTACACACGTATACAAAAAGTAAAACTTAATTGTACGGTTTTAGGATAGGCCACATATTCCATTTTGTTCAATAGCCTCATTCATTGTTTAACAGATAAAGTCAGCAAATTCGACTCAGGACAAAAATATTTTCTATCAACCTCCATATAGAAAGATTTATATAACCCTTAAACTTAATCCTTGGGTAAGTACAGATTTCCAAATCAAAATCGAGTTATGAACTGCTTATAATAACTACACTACGCTAAAATGCTAACATTTTCTTCCCAGTATGTTTTCCTACAAAGGGAAAAAAATTGTCAGCTTTCATTCTTTGTCTGTGCTGGGATTTATGAAAAGCTCAAAACACTGTTCTGCAAAACTAAAATACACTGTAAAGTCAAACAGGTAAATAAACAACAAAACCAAACTGATTTCAACAAACTCAGGTCATGTTTCCAAAAGTAAAGTCTATTAAGAACAAGTAATAAACATGTACAAGAAATTACAATAAATGATGGTCACGGTTAGTTACAAATGCAAAATAATATCTAATGATCCCAG